AATGTTCAAAATGACAACTGCGTCGGGCTGAAACTAGCAAAAAACACTTGCGTCACACCTGGCGCCACATTGCGCCAGGTGCATTGCTCCCAACAATTTAACCAATTAGAAATGAGATACAGGAAACATCACTATAATACATGGCCACCACTTTTATCTGAAAATATAAAGGATTTATAGCACAAAAACATATGTAATTATAATTATATATGTATACTTATAATTCAATAACAATAATAAATATAATTATATCAATATAATTTTGAAATAATTCCAAATTTAAAGGGTTAGTTCACCCAGGACCGTTTCTAGCCAATTTGACGCCCTAGGCAAAATCCCTATGGGGGATATAAATTCTCTCTATATATATATTATTTTCAGACACCAGTTTCTTGTCACGTTCAAATTGGTTGTCATAGTATCGACACTAATTTGTGGAGATTCAGCACATTGTGAGTTCCACAAATCTGAATGCATTATTTGTAAATTGACTGTTAAGATAAACATTTTGCACAATTGATTATCTGTAATATCATTGTGTTGCCACTAGATGCCTGTTTAGCCCTATGTAACAATCCCTAGTAGCTAAGACATTGCACATAATTTACACATAAATCACACATAAATAAATGTTATTACACTTGGATTTGGATACATGTTTAGATATTATCAATGGCTACTTTTTGTCTTTATCTGTTTTTTTGTTCAATTGTTTTGTTGTTGTTGCTTGAAACATTGATTTGAAGTGTCAGTTATTGCATTATTATTTCAGTCAAACCTATAAAACCCTTTGTTACCCCAAACTACATATAAAAGCCAGATCAGTGGCATAAAAGTAATCAATGCAGCTACTTAATCCTTTGCTACTCATTAACGCGTGAACTTTCCCTTTAAATAACGCGACACTCTGCCCTCTATGCGTATGACGCTGCTCACAGTGCTGTTAGAAGTGAATGAATTGATTCAGCATTTCGACACCTCCATAAGGATGCATTAAACTCAACAAAGCGGTTTAATAAAGGATGTATTGATCTCGTGAATTAGCAAAAATTACATATAAAAGCCTGATCAGTGGCATAAAAGTAATCAATGCAGCTACTTAATCCTTTGCTACTCATTAACGCGTGAACTTTCCCTTTAAATAACGCGACACTCTGCCCTCTATGCGTATGACGCTGCTCACAGTGCTGTTAGAAGTGAATGAATTGATTCAGCATTTCGACACCTCCATAAGGATGCATTAAACTCAACAAAGCGGTTTAATAAAGGATGTATTGATCTCGTGAATTAGCAAATTTTATTATACCAATATTTTTTAATTGGTTGTTAAAGTTTATATGGGAATATGACACGCTAATCTATTAACAATGCATTGGCGCAAAAACGCACACCTTTTGGACAAATCTCGCAACATGATTTATCAACTTCCACAAATACTGCCTAAACAAAATACTGATTTTGTGCACTTTATTTACTGTACCAATATTTTAAATTGGCCATTGAACTTAGCTTTATTGCATGGCCAAATACCTTGCCAAATCACTGACAGAGCCCATTGATCTAATGACGTTGATGAGCGCTCCAAATGCAAACTTTGCATGCAACAATCAGGCAGCAATTGACAGCGCTCTGATCCAATGGCATACAGGCATCGTCATATTAACAGTACTCTAGCCCAATGATGTTGGGGGATCCAGTGGGGGCGGCAGTCATATTTCAGGGTGACCGTGCCACTCTTTATCACAACCCTGCTAAAATGTAGTGCCAGTACGTGCGCTCATTGGCGCCCCTTCATCTGGTGGTGCCCTAGGCAACTGCCTAGCTCACCTATGCCTAGAAACGGTACTGAGTTCAACCCAAAATGAAAATTATGTCATTAATTACTCACCCTCATGTTTTTTCCAAACCCGTAAGACCTTCGTTCATCTTCAGAACACGAATTAAGATATTTTTGATGAAATGTGAGAGCTCTCAGACCCTGCATAGACAGCAACGCAACTGTAATGTTCCCAGGTCCAGAAACGTAGTAAGGACATCGGTAAAACAGTCCATGTGACATCAGTGGCTCAACTTCAGTTTTGCGAAGCTACGAGAATACTTTTTGAGCATAAAGAAAACAAAAATAACATAATTTATTTAACAATTCTTCTCCCCCGAGTTACGTCTTCCACCATTTTGGAGAGTACCCAAGACCGTAATCGACGTAATTAGCGCTGTTTACATTCGGGGGAGAAAGCACGCGCATGAACGTAATCTGCGTAATCAGCGTTGTTTATGCTTAGGGGAAAGCGTGTGTATGTGTTGTGATACTCTAAAATGGCAGAAGACTTAACTCGGGGGAGAAGAATTGTTCAATAAATTATGTTATTTTTGTTTTCTTTGCACTCAAAAAGTATTCTCGTAGCTTCGCAAAACTGAAGTTTTAATTTGTGTTCCGAATTCATTTTAATTTGTGTTCCGAAGATGAACGAAGGTCTTACGGGTTTGGAACGACATGAGGGTGAGTAATTAATGACAGAATTTTCATTTTTGGGTGAACTATCCCTTTAAAACAAACATGCTTTCTAGTGTTACAACCAATTCTGTAGTGGGTGGGTTGTAACAGCTCTTTGTACTTGACATTTAATTGCAAAAGTTTATAGACAACATCTCTAAACTAATATTTGAAACATATAAATATGAGTTACAAACACTGAAGTAAAATTTGCTTCCCTGCTAAGTTTGATATAAACTTAAATGTTTCATAATCTGAGGTTTGAATGTTTCTGATATATATAAAGATATTGAATGTGAGAATTATTTTTGTCCCCTTTAAACCATATCAACTCACTAAACAATTCCTAACAGTCTAGTTCTGGTTCCTGCTTTTCAGCGTCTGCATAACTAGAAAGTTGCATCGATGATGTAAACAGATGGTGAAATTGCTTAGCTGTCTGTGAAAGAACAAAAAAAGTACAATGCTAAGCACACTTAGTTCAATTTATCTCCTATCCACAGTGTGTATACAGTTACGTGTATTAGTTTGGCTCAGTGTGTGTGATAATTATTCCTCATGTGACCTCTAGATGCCGCTAAGAGCACAATGAACATATCCTGCTGAGCTCTAGTACATTGGCATTTAAGGATCTATAGGATTTTTTCCCCCTCTCCCTCCTACGTAGTGCCCGCTTGACAGCGTGATAAATTACAAAATATCATTTAACATGGTGTGTTGATGCAGATTATACTTTTTAAATAAAGTAGAGAATGATTGAAAACCTCGCTGTTGTGTTTGCTTTCTCAACTCTCATACGTGACGATTGTGTTTGAGTTTCGGGTGAAAGCATATAATGTCCTTTAATAGTACATTGACAACGGTGACATCTGCATGTTTCTTAATAAGAAAAGGCAGAAGTTATGGTAATATAATTTTTATTCTTCATAAAAATGTCTTTCAGATAAGGTGTATGTATGAGGAAGATAGCACATGCACGAGGGATGTGCGCGCAGCGTGACACGGGTTGAAAAGGGGACGGAAATAACCGTTTTTTCTCTGTGGTTGTGAGACGCATCCCGAAGGTTTTTTTTTCTGCATGCGAAGTTTAGGAGGTATCCCTCTTGGCAGTGTTACCAGATTACAGAAGAGAAACAGGCAAGTACCAAGTTACATCCCTCACCAAAATGTGTGGGTCTAATTAAAACCATTTCCAAATTACAATAATACTACTACTACTAATAATAATAATAATAAATACAAAATAAAGAATAAATAATTTTGCATATACAATTCAAATCGCTGCTTGAATCCCAATGGTTCATCAGTGGTATGTACTTGTTGGCTGTTGATGAAGCACATTCTGTTTGTAGTAGCCTAGGTATAAATACATTGCCATAATACATTCACCATGTTGTCATTGTCCTTTGACCCCTGTGTTCTTTGACCTAGTGTGTAATAACAACAGTCACAAACACAATTTACTTTTGGTGTTGTTAAACAAGTAGGCTACCCTTACCACTTTCATAGTTTTTCACAGCTGTCATTTGAGTATTCTTCACTATTTCAATAATAGGCTTCTGCTTTTTGGACATCATGCTCATTTACATATACTAAAGTGGGGAAGTATTCATATTTGGATATGGAACCCACGAAGAGCACGCATGGCTCAAACTGTAAATGTAGATACTTGACAGCTTCAGTTAGTAGCCTAGTTTGTCACACTTTAGCCAAAACCCTACTGTGTTCTGGATCACCAACTTGCGACTGCTCACAATGACAAAACAGGCATATTCGCTTATAATAAGCGGATATGGCAGCACTGGCACTTGGTAATGTTTGGGTACATACGAATGAGGTTTTGTTGTGGAGTCCACAGAAGCACGTCTTCCAAAGCTCCGCCCTCGACGATTCAAAATGATGTTCTTGTATGAGGGACTGAGCGAGCGAGTGGGAAAGAGAGGGGGAGAGCGAGAGCGCAATCGGTCGGAAATCCCTTCACTCTCACATAGGCTATCCACAGTATACAAGCGCGCGGTGAGCTGCAGCAAAAGCCCGAGCACCGGCGTCTTCAGTAACACTGAATAGTGAACTGATGATGAGAGCACGCGCACTGGACGCTACCGGACATTGCCTTGGAAGATTTTTCTGTTTTCACTTTTATGCACAGACAGTTGTTGACTGAAGGTCTAAGTTTTGACGGATGTTGTCGTGTGGAATTGGAGGTGTCGGGATGCTGTGAGCCCGGTCTGGAGTAGCGCTGGTTCGGGGTTTCCTTTAGTGCGCAAAGAGAGGACACTTCTCTCTGATGTGCGTAACCACCATCAGCCAAGTTGCGCGCTGTTATTTTCTGACGTGACACTTTTTGCTACAGTTCTAGCGGACCCTCCGTGTTAAAAAGAGGAATTTTACGGAAAACCAAGAGAGCTGACAGCGGACAAGGGTGCTGTTTTGTATCGACAGGATTGCGGTGGTGCTGAATTTTGGATATCCAAAGCGCTTGATTTGTGGCGTGCAAAGGGAAAGCGGCACTCGGTCCGACCCCATCGGTCAAGAGTAGCTACAACGGAGAGGAGTAGCTATCCATTAAGGTATATGAGATGTTTTATTTTTTATTTTTTGCTATTGATATTTATACATTTGCACATTTGCTCGTCTTACCAATGTGTGCGCTCTCATGTTGTCCGTAATGAGGTTACAATAGGAGCCATGTAGAGATACTTTTTTTTATAGCGAGAGGCAGCCTGTGTTTGTTTCTGTGCATTTATGTAAATCATAATTACGACAGACGTATAAAATAATTTGACGGAGTGCTGTCACAAAGTTGCGTGATTATTTGAGTTTTCATTATAATAAACGCCGAGCAGATAACTGTGAAGGGCTGCACGCCTCAGTTTAAATATCAAGAATTTATCGATATCTCACGTTAACATCGCCCTCGATTGTCCTCAGAGCTGATTAGCTCACATGTGACATGTTTTCCCTACACTACTGCTATTGATTTTTCTACATGAAACCGAGTGCTCCGGTGGATTGCTAATCCACGCTTGCTATTACATTGCCACATATAGAAAATAAGCCCTTGACCCCATGGATCCACAGATATAGCCTAACATCTTCATGTAGCTCAAGTGCCGGTCAGTGCATCTTCGCGTAGATTTTAATCGATACCTCGCTCTAATATGAAATATTCAACATTTTCCAGTGCGCCCGAGAACGAGCGCATTATAGATGAGAAAAAAAAACACATCTGACAGGAAACCCTCACAGGAACTGCGCTTATTGCATGTAAACTTGTTCGACGCTTGTAAGCACTGTTTATAGTAGACAGAATAATGAATCTGTATACATTTTGTGAGCTTTTATGGATAAACCCTTAAGTTTGCTATCTTTGGTTATTCCTCGCTCCCACAACACCTGTTGCTCTCGTTTTGCGCATTTCTCATATAGGCTAGCCCTACGTTTCCATCTCACTGCGTTTAAAATTTCTGCGGTTAACTTTACCCGCAGAATGTCGGCTAGTCAACATTTCACGAGATGCACTAGTATCTTTCCTGGTACCAGTCACCAGTAATCGTTAATGAACAAAGCATGCCTGTCACAACAGCGGAATCCGGTCTTTCTGGCCGCTCCCGTCGTCGGGTTGCTTTTAAACCTGTTCGTCTGGTCCGGCTGAGAGAAACAGGTGTGAAAACACAGGGAAGGCTTCAACTTCATTCCACCCAGCTGTGATCGGACATCTCGATTCTTTCTGTGGTTCATTTGTAGGCAAAGCGTTCAGCCGGATATAAAATTGTACAGCAGCCCGCAATGGCTTGCAAATGACCTGGTCTAACTCGGAGCGCATTCATCCGCAGGTAAAAGTCATTTCCTTTCCGCAATCATCGATCAGCACAAGCACACCAGCACTTGAGCAAGATTATCGTGCCGTTCCGGTAGATTATTGATCTGTGGATATTATAAACACGTTATGTTATCCCCCCCTCCATGTCTTTAATGTAGGCTACTGAAACTGTATTCGTCCCTCAACCTGGGCAGTTATAGGCGAATGCGAATTGAATTCATGGAATGGGGGTGGCTGGCCCCCTATAAAGACTTGTACTTTCTAAGGAAGTCAAAACCAAAGTTTTTACATGTAACTCCCAACGTTTCAGTGAGATTTTAAGTAACCACAAAAGTTACAAATTAGTGGGCTTGTATTTTCACCTAATAAATAGGCGCTCACGAACAGAAATCGTGATGTCTGAGGAGGAAACCATAGCAACAGCAGACCGCTGAGCCTTTCGGACGGTACGTTGACAAAACATAAATGCTATCATGTTTTATCAGTTTATTATAGATTTACGTTTCACAAATGGGCTATACAACTTTACTACTGTTAGTTAACGTTCTCTGTCAGCCATATATCTACCGTCTTGTTATTATTACATGGAGATTCCTATTAAAAGTTAAAAAGCTTTTAATTATAACCAGCCCTTAAACTTGATGGACGTAAACGCTCCACACCGAGTATGAGAGTCCAGAGAAACGGGAGGGAATGAGACTCCTCTTGCACACACATTTGCCGTTTGAATGGACCGAAACTTCAACGTTCAAATGCCAAGTAACCGAGTGTAAATGTTTTTAAAATGGGTCTTGTTAGAAATCACATGTAGATTTGACTAAATGAAATACACATTACAGTACCCAAATGAGCAGACTCAAAGGTTATGAGTTGCTTCCTTGAAGTTGTTTCTAGTCTTTACTGTGACAGGCTTCTTTTTTTTTTTTCCTTCTTGATTAATATGCCCATGTATACATTATTAGTTTAATTAGCTAATTTTTCCACTTATTGTGTAATGACAATTTCCAGCTGACAAAACCAACCTAAAATGATACATTTCAGCATTTCTGTGCTTATGGGTTTGTTTTACTGTAGGAAATAATGCAAACAAATTTATTCGGTTTCATTTCTTGTAAGGCAACATCTAGAATCCTTCAACTATATATATAAAGATTAAGTTTAATTAGTTAATATAATGTGCATTTATAATGTTCATGGAAAATAATTGTCTATTGGTCAAAACAACTAAATAACAAGCAGTCAACCAGTGTTGAGCTTCTTCCTTCCCATTTTGACAGCATTACAAAAGTAATACATATATATCAAGTAAAATAAAACCTATTTCACTAATTTTATTACAACCTCTTGGTCTGTTTAACCCATAATATTAGCAGCAGTCCTCCCGTCTTTGTCTATGTTTTCTCTGTGTGTGTGTGTGTGTGTGTGTGTGTGTGTGTGTGTGTGTGTGTTTAGCCATGTGTAATGGTGTGTGAGAGTCTGCGTGCCAGCCTTGTGACTGGCCAGCTCTCTCTGTGTAACAGCCTGGTAGACAGCAGCGGGTCAGCAGTTCATCTCATCTGAAAGTGGGCGCAGACTAATCTGGCCCCACAATGGCTGAATTAAATAATTAAAGTAATCCTCTGTGCCTCGCACTTGGCTGGGAGGGGGGCCTTGGACCACCCATCCAGAACAGGTCACTGAACGCCGTGGAGCTGGTGGCCCATAGAGCCTAGATGGCTGCAGCCGAGGACAAAAGCTCACGTGAACTCAACTCATTGGCTGTGGCATCGAAGTATTGACGCACTCAGTATTTAGGATGTGGTTGGTTAGTGTTTATTGCCTACTGAACTACATTTTAGCTCATTTATGTGGTTTCAGGAGGATTCATTTATGTGGTCTCCATGAGAATGAGCAAATATGAATGTATTTTATTCACAGGTCAGTACACACTTTTTCGATCTCCTTGCTGATTAATCGGCAACATTATTCAATTGGTGAGTCTATCGGCTTACCTCGTGTAACCGTAAGCAAATAAATATTCTGCTTTTATGCTATATTTCTCGTATACGCACTTCAGGTGCACACTAAAATGTCAGTTGAGCCGAATGAGTTAACCATTAACCTAGGACAGATGCTGCACTCACACTTCCTTCTGAGTCAATCATTCTCCTGGCTTCAGACAAGAGCTGACTCCTGAACCCTCATAAATGTCACCGCTTTAATTTAATCCTTTAATTATCACATTGAAACTGGAATGGGGAGGGGTTAAAACAATCATTGCCTGAGTGTGTTACCATGACGCAGTGCCACTGCTGTGTCTCGTCCAGGAATCTGACTCCTGCCACGGCGGTTACGTAAATGCTTTTATTGCTTTATGTTCCCCAGAATCACCTTGCTGTTTCATGCTGAGCTGGATGCCACCTGGGGGGGGTGTCTTGGCAGAGGTATGCCATCCTCATATTCCCAAGGGGTTTTTTTTGCTGGCAAAGGAAGGGTGAGCATTGGTACAATGATAAATTCCTCATTACAAGTCTCTAAAGAGGAAAGAAGGAGAGCGAGACAGTGAGAGTGAGGGAGAGAGAAAATCATACCACAATTTTAAAGCATGTCAGCGGGGGAGGCTTTAGAATAGTAATTAGCCCGTTAAATCTGTTAACCTCACCCTGCGCAACAACACAATGGCCTTCTCGACAGTATATATATGAGCGCATATCTGAAAGGGCACGGGATGGCATAAAAGGATGGTGTGCAAATGAAAGAGAAAGACAGAGAGCTGTAGGAGGTTTTGTTACAAGAGACCAGGTGTGAAATGAATAATGTGTTTTTTGCAGACATGAAATGAGAGGGAAACTGCATTCCCCCTAAAGCTGATGTGAAAATTCTGGCGAAATGTACTGTGAATAATCTGTAAAGAGCCAATGGTGAGACTCCATAGGGGGAACGCCGATTCACACTTTCCTTTGCGCTCACAGCTATTGATTATATTAATGACATCCAGCTTATATACAGCAGTACAATATGAATTAGGCTACACTGCCTGAGAACCGAGCATAAATTCTCATAGGATTATGACAGTAGTCATAAATACCGCACTCTGGCGACGCCTGTCTCCCTGCGAGGAGATCTTAGCTGCAGCTCGACGATGGTGCATTTGAAGACATTATTAGAGAGGTGGACGGGGTGTGTTGATTTAGGGCCTGTCATAAATCGCCTTTCTGACCATGTAATGATGACAATCAAAGTTCGTAGATGAAGAAAAGCCCCACCGACGGCCTATTGTCATTGTAATAGCTAGGCTTTTTGTGTACCTTTGTGAAGGCTAAGTGCTAACTCTGCAACTGAAAGGAAAGCTGTCTGCTAGGTAGCAGTGCTTGATTTGACTCTGTTAGGGCCTCATGTGTTTTGTAAATGTTGCTGCCGTTAAGGCACACCACTCATATGCACTTACGCATTTCCATTACAATGGAGAGTTCTTAGCCGAAAGCCTGAAGCCCAATTTATACTTCTGCGTCGGACCTATGCCGTAGCCTTTACGCCGTAGGCTATGCGTCAGTTTTAATTTATGCTTCTGCGTCGTTGTCCGCGTCGACGTGCAGTACACATGCAAACCGCTAGTCTGCAGTGTCCACGGGCATGTTGCTGGTGTAACCCGCAGTACCACGGCAAAAGCCGAAGAAGAAGCGGCTCGTCGGAGAAGCATTATAGCCGTGACGGCGGCAAATAAATATCAAATCATTAAATCATTATTTAAAACTACAAAAAGGAGACAACAACAGAACAGGAGAAGATTGCATTCTTTCAATCTCCACAATGACTTGTACCACGGCAGATCAACATTGTTTGTCTTCCAAATGAAATACAAACTTAAACTACTTCAGTCTGTGTGCATTGAATTTATTTAATACACGAGTTTCACAATTTGAGTTGAATTACTGAAATAAATGAACTTTTCCACGACATTCTAATTTATTGAGATGCACCTGTACTGATGTATAATGCTATGTAGTATAATAAATGATAAGACACTTGTTCTTTGCTTTGTTTGTTTTTTATATAAGAAGGTGTAACATTAAAATATATTAAAGTGCACATAAACATACACAAAACTCAAATACATACGGAGGGAGGGGTTCTAGCAGACCAATCACAGCGCTTGCGGTCCGCGTAAAATTGACACGCTGTTAGATTTTTGGAGAGGTGCATGTCAGGCTACGGCGTAGGGTGTGCATCTATGCGTAGGCTACGGCCTAGGTTCGATACAGAAGTATAAATTGGGCTTGAGTCATTGCCACCCTTAAATTTCATATACTCAAACATGTTCAGCTGTTTTTCTTTTTTATGACCTTCATGTTTTTCTCTAAGATTTTCCATTTGCCCGAGCGTCTGCTCACAAACACTCACTGACATTCCTTTTCTGTGGTTGTTTTTAGATCTTGTGTGTACGTTTTACACACCCACAGATGTATGGGGCATACATATGTGAGCAAACGTGTGTTCATATTCATAGAAGAGTGTGGGAAAGGATGTCTACAGCCCACATTAGGGTTCCCAGTGTACAGTGACCCTTAACACAGACTCTTTACGCCGGGCCCTTGAGAGCGAATGTCGTGAGAGCTTTTTAAACCCTTCATCTCAACAAACAGATTCACATGCTTTTCATGTTGCGAGAATGTTTTTGAGCTTTGTTGACTTTTCGCGATGAAGATGGGATGTTTTGGTTTAGTTTATATATATAGATCTTGTCCTTTTTGTTTAAACAAATAGCATTTTAGTGCCAATTTTTTCAGCCCGGTTAATCCTTGACCCAGTGCGTTTGAGGTCCCTGCCCTGCATTTTCGGTGACCTTTTTTTCATCAACACACGGTAAAAATTTCAACACACACCTTCAGCAGAGACTCTGACGCATCACTGTGAAATGCCAACTCCATAAGATGGTCGTTCAAAACCACAATGAGAGATACATTGCTTTAAAGGTGAGGTATTTTTCACCTCTCCAGCCCCCTTTGCTTTCTACGCTATTTAATTAGCCACATGAAAGTGTGTCAGAGTCTTCTGTCTCGACAGATTCAGAATTAGACTGTGAAATTAGTAATAAATGAGTCAAGCTCTCATCATATGTGTGATCAGGGTCACACATCCCACCCTTCATTTCAGCCTCATTAGTGCATTGTTCTCCCTACAGTGTCGTTGCCTTGTGGCTGCAGTTGTGCGAGTGTGTTTGTAGTCACTGGTGTCTAATTTGTGTATATTAAAACTGCCTTTCCCATGAATTGGTGGAGTGTGTGAGGTGGTGTGTGCTTGTTGCAGTTACCTTAGCCATTTTTTCGTTGCTCTAACCACACGTTATTTTTTTTTCTTTGCAATCTGTTTATGAAAGGCTCGCTATGTCATGTGTCTGCTAATGGAAAAATATTGAATGGTACATGCACTAAACTACTACAAACAATCAATACTGATGAGTGTATGGAAGAAGTCACTTCCTTTTAGTCCCCAAATGGCTGCCCCAATATGCTGACAGTCATTTTTCTTTGTATATTTGTGGTCTTAAAGTTATACAATTATTTTTTTTTCAACCTCATGGAAGGTGACATTTAAAAACTGATTTTGATTCTTTAGGCTTGGTATTCACAGGCAGAATGTAACTGGTGGCAGCGCTTTCACATCCCCCATTGGTTCACCGCTGGGTCGAGTTGAGGTGTTTGTCTCTTCTGGACAGTAATCTAGCAGCCCTGCCTCATTAGCCATGGGGAGCATGGTGGGATAACATTCCACATATGTTATAGGGGTCTGCGATTACCACAGCGGGAAGCATCAAAGTAACATGACCTTAAACGTGATGGATTAAACAGAATCTGATTTATTTATTTGATTTTTCTTTTTCGTGTTCTTTTGCAGTATGTCACGCTGAGGTTGTTAATGTTTGGTGAAGTGGCAGGAGGGGGGCTGTTGTCAAGACACACTCTATAGACCCGTCTTTTACCTCCCTGTGGTTGTGTGATGTTGCCACAAATTGGGAGCCATTTGCTGTGAATAGCTATCAGCTGAAGTGGCACTGGAAGATTAGAAAGCCACACTCTTCTAACATGTGTTCAGTAACTTAAATACTCAGACAGGAAATGGAAGATTCACATGTGACACTGTGTTCAAGAAACCATGCTTTTGGTTTCTTTTCCTACTTTTTGTAACATTTGTAACATTGTTTTATATGGTTTATATTTATTATTAAAATAACTAATTATTATTAATCATTTATTTTAGTTCAGTTTTTAGTTTTCACTGTTTTTGAATTTAATTTTACTACAGAATAAGTTACAGCTTTTAGAAAAGAGGGAGAATTGACCTAAGGTAACTAAAATAACAAACAATTAAAGAATTAAAGAATCAAAATTGACTATATTATTTTGTTTGCGCACACTGCTATTTTTGTGGTGTACAATTCATCCGTGCAAGTCAATCCACAAAAAAAAAAAAATGTTTGCCTTCATAATCATTAATCCAAATCTGAAAATGCACCTCCCCTCTGATATGACGGACCTTCTCTGATGACGTCAGTTTGATGGCTTGGGCTTGAGCATAACATCCTTAAAAACGCCCCTCCAACTGTCAGTATTGTTCTGAATGAAAGGCCTACTTTACTACATTCAATCAGTTCGCAGTAGAAAAAAAGACAAGCCACACCCTCTGTTTTTCTCATTCAATATTCCGTTTGTCTCGGAAGCACATCACAATGCGGAAGTAAAGTCAGTCGCAACTTCCGGTTCACGCGGACTGAAAATAATGCATAAGGCTCTGGGAGATGAGGAAAAAGAATCATGTTTGGTTGATTTTGTGGTGGTTTTCACCTTTTCATTGACCCCAGGCATGATTCTGGAAATGAGAGCTGAGGCAGTTTATCAATAGCTTAGGAAAGGTAGATCAAGCAGAGTGACAGCATTATTTGAATGGACATCACTTGTCTGCTAGCTTCCTCCTCTCATAGGGTCAGTCAGCCAATGCATCTCTAAGGAATACGGGCATATGTTGTGTTTATTAATTAGACAAGAAATTAAGTTTGCAGAATGAAGGTCAAACACAAGTAACTGTTTGTGACACATTCACTGCCTCTAAAAAGGAGAGGTTTACAACACATGAAGGGACAATCAATCATAAATCCCCGGGAATCAGTACCATAAAACTGTGGCTGCCATCGCGTTACAGGCTTCTTGGCACTGTCAGAGACTTTGAAGGATTGTGCCTGAAGAATGAATGTTTCTCTAATCTAATTTGTTTGTTTGTTTGCTTGATCTTTTGCAGCAACAGACTGATGATGTGCCAGAGTGCCAGTGAGATGTGGTCACGGTGGAGTGCCATGCTAGTGTGGATTTTCCTTCTCCTCTGTTGCTCTGCAGATGTAGTCAGCACCATCATCTACCAGGTGACCGAGGAGCAGCCGCCTAACACACTGATTGGCAGCTTGGCATCTGACCAGGGCTTGCCAGACACCGGTCACCTTTACAAACTCGAGGTGGGCGCTCCTTTCCTCCGTGTGGATGGAAAAACAGGGGACATCTACACTACGGAGATCCCGATCGATCGTGAGACTCTCAAGGACTGTCGCAACCTTTTTGAGGGCGATCCTTGTTTCCTAGAATTTGAGGTGTCTATTACAGACCTAATGAAAGGAACAGGACCTCGGCTCATTGAAGGCCGCATCGAGATCTTGGATGAGAACGACAACACTCCACAGTTCTCTTCACCTGTCTTGACATTGTCGATCCCGGAGAACACGCACGTGGGTGTGCTTTTCGCAATTCCTGTGGCCACCGACAGGGATTCTGGAAGCAATGGCATTGCCGATTACGCGCTAACGACTGGCCCTGAAGCTGCCAACCTTTTCAGCCTGCAGGTGGCGCAAGACTCAGATGAGAAATTGCCACAACTCATTGTTTTGGGAAACCTGGATAGAGAGCAGCGAGATTCATATGACCTCAACATAAAAGTGGTTGATGGTGGCTCTCCACCCCGCCAGAGTAGCGCCCTGCTCAGGATCACCATTACAGATGCCAATGACAATGTGCCCAAATTTGAGAAGTCACACTACGAGGGTGAGCTCCCAGAAAACAGCCCAGTGGGTCATTCTGTTCTACAAGTAAGTAATCTATTTTTTAGTCATACTTTCTATCTAAAACTAAACAAATGTAATAACATGATGCTAGCAATGCTAAGGTTATGTCATATACAGGAACATTATATATATACTTTGACTGCATTGTAAGTCATGTGTTACGGAGTAATCAGAACATGAGACGTGCGGATCCATGTGCAAGGCTTTATTACAAAGGTGTGGTCAAAAAACGGGCAAGGGTCAGATAACAACACAGGTCCATCACAGGCAAGGCAAATAGTATTCCTAGGGCAGGCGGGGGTCTTCGATCGGCAAACGTAATCCAGAGGGCAAGGCAAACGGGTAGTCCACAAACAGGCAATAGTTCATTAAAGGGGCAAACAGAGTCCAAACGACAAGGTGAGAGAAATCCAAGGCAGAGAATCAGGCAACCAGATAACACAACGAGACAAGACTAGACTAGAACTAGGAACAAATACTTGACTAGGTAAAGGGCTCCATAACGTTGCTATCACTAACGTAGCGATATTTGCAAACAATACTGGGCAGTGAGAAAGAAGAAGTTCATGGCTTATGTAGGGTGTTTGATTGTTTGCAGCTGTGTGTGTAATCAGTGCAATGAATGATGGGAAATGTAGTCCAGAGTGACATGCAACAGTCTGTGTAATGTGAAAGTCAATATAATGGGAGGGCGACCTCTGGTAGCAAGCGGACAGAAGTTCATGGACAGGATTCGTGACATCATGTTGCATGAAAATGCCTGTTAGAGTCATCGTAAATTCTTCTTATAATTATTATTATATTTTAATTGAATACTTTTATACAATGACTATTTATGTATATTTAATGTTTATTATTATATAAAATATGAATAAAGTAAAAAGATATATCAACATAAATGTTTAGTGAATATAAAGAAAGAGCTCTGATTAACGGGTAAATTCAATTAAAATTCAATACATCAAATAAATATAATTAGACTGCACATGTACACTTCCCTCTCTTATAAGGTTGTGACACAAGTGTCTCAGTAAACTCACCTGTAAGCAAGTAATATGCTAAACCTTTAAACTGAGCACTAAGTTATAGAGGAGCTGATTTGACAGCTTGGCAATAGAAGTGCACTCAAGCCCCACAGACAGAGGCTGACAAGCTCTTGTAAATGGAAATCTCAGTTATCCCGATGGGCTTTAGCCTCAATTCCCACACAACAGGGTTAAAGCAGAAAAAATGGGAAAGCCAAATCATATTTTCACAGGCAATCGATTGATCACTCACGGTTCCTTTAAACACAAGCTTTACAAAACAGGAGAGAAGTATTGACTGGTGGTGAGAATTACATGTTGAATTGTGGAAACGAAAGCACTGCTAAGATTAGGATAGCTGTGAAGGCTGGAAGCTTTCCAAGATCAATCTAAAGCAAGTGTCCAGGCAATTTTTTTTATTAATGACCGTTAATCTCTCAGTCAACAATTAATCCATGCAACCAAGTTGTATTCAAAGAGCATGTCAGGAGACTTTATTTTCCTCTCAGTCCTCATAAGCATCCTTTGAAGCCAAAGTAAATAAGCAGTAGTGGTATTAAAACAGCTTAATTTTGTGATTTCAGAGGGTTGTAAATGTTGATGGAGTGTTTCAGCTTGTTCAGAGAAATGCTCTTTAAATACTTTAAATTAAATGAATTCCCAGTTAGTATGGAGGATGAAACGGAGTGACTCATGTAGAGTAATAATAATTTAAGCACCATGAATAATCTTATGACTGCTTCAGATTAAGGCTGTTCTCTGTAATACATGGACTGAAACACCATGCATGTTTCGTACACAGCCAAGGACGGAAAGAGGAGAGGATGTAGCAGGAACAAGGGAATCTTGATTGCTTGAAAGCTTTAATCAAGCCACACTTCGATTTAGAGCTGTTTAAAATTATTCCCAGGTTCGCGATAGACCACAAAAAATATGTAGAAATCTGTGCCAAGACTCAAATTAACTTCATCTAGCAAACTACTGCTAATTTTGGAAAATTTAACTTAACACAAAACACAACCTAATCATATTTAACCCCCTGAGAAAGTGCATTTCTCATGTCTCTTCCTATATATTGAACATTTAATAACAATCAATTCCCATTCATCATGGTATTACTACTTAGTGAAAGCACAATCTGTTTTCTGGAATCAAATGAGGTGTGCTTTATTTTAAATTCCAGGAAAATTCAGTTAATTTATTAATTAGTCTGATGTAGTTCTTGGATGATCTTTGGGTCTTTTTTAAGTGTGTAAAACATATTGTTGTTAATATTGTTGGTAATTCATTGCTGCTTACAGTCATCTTTATCTGTTTATGATGGTCCTGACCAAGCATTTTAATCCCTGTATTGACACTGATATTTAAACCTGTGATTATATCATCTGTTTTTGTAAATTAATTTTTCAGTGCTTTGCTTAGTTTCACTTTGTGATGTATTGTTTCAGGTGAAGGCCAATGACTCTGATATGGGACCCAATGGAGAGGTGACCTACAGCCTCCACCAGGCATCACCAACTGTTCAGAGGCTCCTCAGCATTGACCGCAACACGGGCACCATTTTCGTCAAAGGCTTGGTGGATCGTGAAGAGATTAGCATGCTCAAGTTCTACGTCCAAGCTAAAGACAATGGTCCACAATCAAAGAGCTCCAAAGCCCTTGTGACTATTACAGTGAAGGACCAGAATGACAATGCACCCTCCATCAGGATCCGGGGCATTGGCCTTGTGACTCATGAAGATGGTGTCGCTAACATATCGGAGGACATGCCTGTAGGCACAGCTGTGGCTCTGGTGGAGGTATCAGATCATGATGAAGGTGAAAATGCAGTTGTGACCTGTGTGGTCGCAGGGGATGTCCCATTCCAGCTGCGACCAGCTAGCGAAACAGGCAACGACCGCAAGAGGAAGTACTTCCTCCAGACAACCATGCTACTGGACTATGAACGGATCAAAGACTACAGGATTGAAATTGTGGCAGTGGACTCTGGCAACCCTGCACTATCCAGCACAAATTCCCTGAAGGTGCAAGTGACAGACATGAATGACAACTCCCCAGTCTTCTCGCCTTCTTTGTACGAGGTAGAATTTGCTGAGGAGAACCAGCCAGGTGACAAGGTTCTGGATGTGGTAGCCACAGATGCCGACAGCGGGACTAATGCGGAGCTGACATACAGTATCACTGGTGGATCAGTCCCTGAGGGGCTCTTTGAAATTAACCCTAACACAGGAGAAGTGCGTGTCATGAGCCAGTTGGACCGTGAACAATTAAATCACTATCAATTTCTAGTGGCAGCAGCTGATAAAGGTGTACCAAGCTTAAGAGGAACTGCCACTGTTGTTGTTAAGGTGCTCGACAGGAATGACAATGACCCTAAATTTATGCTTAATGGTTACAGCTTTTCAGTCCAAGAAAACATGCCGCCCCTTAGTCCTGTTGGAATGGTAACAGTCAATGATCGCGACGAGGGCGAGAATGCTCGTGTTCAACTTTCTGTAGAACCAGACAATGGCAAGTTTATGATTCAAAATGGAACGTACACTATACTTTCGACTATTTCCTTTGACAGGGAAAAGGAGAGCACCTACAGTTTCCGACTTAAAGCCGTTGACGGAGGTGATCCACCACGTTCTTCCTACGTTGGCATTACCATTAATGTTCTTGATGAGAATGACAATGCTCCATACGTCACCAAGCCCTCAAACTCTTCATACAAGTTCTTGGATCCCCGCACCAGCCCAGAAACCCATGTAGAAAGTGTTGAGGCAGAGGACATTGACATCGGTTTAAATTCAGAGCTGGATTTCAGTATAGTAGGGGGCAACCCGCATGGATTGTTCCGCATCTCTTTAGAAGGTGAGATTACGTTGGCTAAAGAGTTCACATCCAAACACATTGGTCTCCACCGTCTGGTAGTAAAAGTTAAGGACAAAGGCATGCCACCACGCCATACGACTGCACTGGTTCACATCTATGTCAATGAGACCATCGGCAATGTCTCCCACATCGAAGGACTTGTTGGACACAGTCTTTATACGCCACTTGAAATGGACATTGCAGGAGATCCTGATTATTCTCGAGACCCGCATAGTAACATTATTTTTGCAGTCTTGGGTGGCTTTTGTGTGGTCATTCTAATCATTGCAGTGGCTATGATCATCAGGCATGTCGTGCTAAAGGAGAATAAAAGTGGCTACCAGGCAGGCAAGAAGGAGACCAAAGACCTCTATGCCCCCAAACCAGGACCTAAGAGCAACAAGAACAAGAAGATAAAGAAAAGCAAAGCTCCAAAGCCTACCAACCCATCTGAAGAGGATGAGGGGGGGAGTCTTCAGAAAGGCCTAAAGTTCAGCCTCATGAATGATAGCGTCAACGATAGCCCTAGGATTCACCTGCCGCTCAACTACCCCCCTGGGAGCCCAGACCTAGGGAGACACTACCGGTCTAATTCTCCTCTGCCATCCATTCAGCTCCAACCTCAGTCACCTTCTGCCTCAAAGAAACATCAGGCAGTGCAGGACCTGCCAGCAACCAACACCTTTGTAGGAACCGGGGACAACAACTCAACAGGCTCAGACCAGTATTCGGATTACAGCTACAAGGCCAACTCTTCAAAATATAGCACCAAACAGGTAGGAGACGACTTCGAAAGCATGGCAGGGTACCACAGCACAGGGTACCAAAGCCCGGGGTACCACAGCACAGGGTATCACAGCAACGGGTATCGCAGCAACATTGTGTGGACTAATGGCATGTATTAGGGGCTGGAACTGAATGAATGTCAAACAAAAGCGGCACTGATCACAAACCACGCACATCATTGAAAGATCTGATTCTTTTATTTGTCGACCCTTTTTTTTTTTTACTTAATTTAATTACTACTCATTTACATGAAGGAGACAATCCTACACAGTCTTATTTATCTTTTTATTTTCTTTATAAGGGTCATTTTCATTTGCACAGTGTTTATTGCTGCCCCCCAATAGATTAACAGACCTGCTTTCAATATCCCTTGAAACACATTTTTGTGATATAATAACCTTCTGACCAGAGAGATGTGCCTTATTTGTTTGAGTTTTACTCTAAAAGACAACAAATAATAGCCGTTATTGTTTTCATATATTTTGTTAGGCTAGCTTTAGGTAATTGCACAATTGTTAATTTGTCAAAATGATTCTAAAAAGCAAAACATTCACATCATTTTTTGTATATAAAAAAGAAAACTGTGCACTGAGTAAGTTAAAATACACAGGAAGGTTGGAAAAGTAAGCTGAACATATTTGAATTTTTCCATGGCCCATTTTGGTGGGCATTGAAAAATGTCTAAGACCCTACAGATTAGTGGCGGTATTTCCCTTGTTCTTTCTCAAGCTTCACTGATTGCACATGCAAAGAGTGCCTTCTTTTTGTTATGTACACAACTAAGTGGAATGGCTTAATTTAGATTTATGATCAGCTGTAGACGACAGAGTGTGCCATTGAACATTGTTGAATTATTAACTGCGGAATTTCTACCAGGCTGTGAATAATGTCACATTCACTGTAAATAGAAAGCTAATTGACATTAAAACTTAATCACCTTTCTCTAGTACTTTTCTCTAGTACTGAACAAGAAAATCAAAAATGAGTACCATTTATCTTGGACTGTATTAGCAAACTTTTGGAGACAATCATTGAAAAGTTATTATTATTTTTTTTTTAAATGCAAGTTGTATATTGTGAATGTTAATAACCAGCTATGTGTGTGTGTGTGTGTGTGTGTGTGTGTGTGTGAGAGTGCGTGTGTGTGTGTTCATCCCTTATTTGTTTTTTTTGTTCTATTGCAAATTGGCGATGAACAACCTAAATAGCTTTATATAGAATAATTTGCTTAATTAATTCTTAACACACCAAACTTTTCTTAATATCAGATGTGCAAATAGAACCAACCAGATAGATATTAGATCTCAGCTGCTTTCATACTGGTTCAATCCTCCATTTTGTACATTTGAAGTCTGGTTCTAAGTGATATGTGTCCATATTTAAAGCAATAATCACTTGTGATGTTATTCTGGAAAGATGCAATGTTAAAAGGATGTCCTGCAGGAGCAGCTAGTTTACACATAACGCAGCACACAGACAAGTTGAATACGACCGTTTCCGTTCTGTGAGGAGTGTATATCATCTTTGGAACTGTATTTAAAGCTGCAGACATCCCCATTTCTGTTTAATTTCTGTCATGTGCTATTTTGTTTCTGTTGATTTGCAATTTGTATTTTGTATTTTTTAAGTAAAGCAAGTTGGCTTTCAATAAAACTTTTGTGAAGGTGTTATATTGTGGATTTAATGTTAAACAGAAACAGTGCATTACAATTACTCACCAGGGGACATTAATTCTTAAGGTACAGTATTTCATTTCCATATTCCCATTTTTATGTATGACATTGCCATTCTTATACATTTTTCACTTTTTACTTACTAACCGAGACCATAAACATGTCTACTTCAAAAACTATTGTAAATTCTCTTGGTACCAGTGAGCACAGGTTGATGAGCTTGCATTACCGTAGCTATTATTTTAAGCTCCCTATGTTGATAGCTAGACAAATTGATTGATTTTGGTTTACTATTCAGCCTGTTTAGTTTTATAGTGTTCACAAAATGCAAAAATGTCAGTCTTATGTGATCCACGTCTTAACAATTAATATGACACATTTACAGCATTGCTCCTCTGGGATCGAGCCAAACACTGAGGCACTGAGCTTTACAAATGCATTAATTTTTTTTTTTTGTATTTCATCTATTTTTTGTTTGTTTGTTTTTTAATTCATGCTGCACATCACGAGAACAAAATCATGTTCTAAGCGGATTTGAGCAGTGCAGACTTGGCCTATCCGAATGACCCTAGAGGAAAGTGAGGTGTTTTGTACTGGTCCTGTCAATCAAAGCCCTTTTTGGGTCCCATCTTTAGATTTGAGGAATAGGATCAAGGGATGGTTGTCAGAGGTCTTGTTAGGTTTTTTGTACTATTCGATTGGCTTGTTGTATGCCGGCAGCTAATCTGGGCCCAAAAAAAGACACACACACACACACACACACACACACACACACATACAGTACACACACACAGCCTTCCCTGCCACTGCCGACCATTTAAATTCTAGCCGCGTCTGCGCTTCTTAAAAGCTGTCGATTTTGCCCTCAGCTTGCACCATTGTCATGGCAACGGACTGACCAGTGTGTGTTGTATGCTGACTCACAGACTGTTCTGAGTGCAGGTGCGGGGAGACAGAGAAAAAGAGAGAATGGGAGGGATCATAGAGGGATTAATAGAAAGAAGACGCGATAAAGAGAAAAAAAGATAAAGGTGGTCGAAAAAACAAATCTGTCATTTTACACCATTCCATGTACTCAGTTCATGGTGCTTCATGTTAATGGAAGAAACGGGCCATTTATTCGTACATTTGGTCACATTCCCTCCTGTCATCGGCTAGTACTGTCCACTTTATCATCCTTTTCATGAAAATCCACTTGTATTGAATATTACACTCTACTGTACCTTAAGTTTTTCATTGTCCCTGTGATTTTCTCTGAACAACATAAATCCAAAGAAGGGGATAATGCAGCCTTAAACCAGTTCCTGTATGTGTATGCATGCATAGCATTTAATTTCTATACAGTGTTTGGAATGGAATATCATATTTTTAAATTCTAGCACACTTTCATAAGAGTTTCAGCTTAGTGTGCTTGTTTAGCCTCCACTCACTTCTCCTGGGTGTAGAAACTTCAGTCGGAGCGTGATTGCGAATTAGTAAATGTCAATTTGAGTGGATGTCGGTTTGATGTCAGTCCTTTTATGTTTCCATGGTTTAGGAAAACAAGAGTTGGAAGATAAAACAAGAAGCTGTCCATTTCTTCTCAGTTGTGTCCCTTTTTCTCTCACGTGTAGTGTGGTCTTGTGACTAACCGTTACAGAGCGAGAATCTATTTTAGTGAAGTGTGAAGTCAATGAAGTAAAACAGTTCTGTGGTCCAAGCTGCGGTACAGTAGCCTTAAGTTAAGTCACCCTTTAGCAGTCCATGGCTTCAGTAGTATCTCTATCTCAGCAGTCTGTCCACCTTTCTCTCCTTTAAATAAGCAAATAAGTGCCTACCATTGCTTAGCGGTTAATCAGGTGGAACAAACTCACCAGTAATAATCGTGATTCATCAGGAGAGAACATAGCTGAGGGGAGAAAAGAGGAAAACAAAATTGTTTCAAAGGAACTCTGAATGAATATTAAACAAAAAGCTTAATTTGCATTATTCAGGTGTTGTCTTTGACAATGCAAGGCTAATTAAAATAAAGAGCTGTTAATTGTGATGATGGCCCTTTTTCCTCCCTTCTCCCACCTTGACTTGACTTTTTTGACACATAGATAAGATGGAGAATCATTAGCTTTGCTGTCTCTTAACACCAGCAAGAAGCCCCAGACTGATAGCATCTTTTTTTGTGCATTTCACGGGGGAAATTACACCGATTGATGTGATGCCACTAAATTGCCCATGCTCTTTGCATATCAACTATTTTACATGCTTTTGTTATACTATTTCTGCCACATAAGAAAAAGCCATCATTTGGTAATCATAATCATGATGTAGAAAGTTGAAATTGAGATACTAAGTCATAATTACAAGATGACAAATCAAAATTGACATACATAGAGATGTATGGATGAATGTGGAATCTGAGATAAACGTTATGCCGAATGTTATAACATTAAGTCGAAATTATGAAATACTATGAGATAATGAGTCAATGAGATTATGTAAGTCAATTATGAGATAAAAGTCATAATTATGACAAAATATTTGACTTGTCAGTTATTTTATATGATAATTACGACTAATTACCTCAATTTTGACTTTTCATCTTATAAATACCAAAAGTAAATCATAAATTTACCAAAGCAGTTTTTTTTTCTCCATATGTGGCAGAAATGGGGTTTCATAGCCATTGTGGAACTGGCCATTTCTGTCACTGTGCCAAATCTTTTGAGTTTTGTTGTAGGAAGGGAAGAAGGAAGGAAGTGACAGTGACATTTCTTGTGTTTTGAGCTTTCCTTCAGGTTTTGTTGAGGTAGGGAAGGAAGGAAAAGAGAAAAGAAGTGCAAGGAAGTGACAGTGGCATCAGTGTCAGTGCATTGCCATTCCCTGAGTTTTACTGAGAGGAAAATAATGAAATGGAAGGAAGGAAAGAAGAAAGAAAGGACACTGCCATTTGAGGTTTGAAAGCTTTTTTTTTTTTAGGAAAGAAAGGAATTAGTTGTGGATAGCCCTGTTACTTCACTTCTCAATAGTGTTTGAGGTGTGAACTTAATGAGACACATAGTTAAGCTTGTCTTTTTGTTTGTGTTGGCCCATGACACACTGTTGTAATATTTTAATTAGCTGCCAGGGCCTTTCATAGCATGCTTTTTTTAGGCTTGTTGTGCCCTACTACTAAATTTTAAATGGTGTAATACCATGAAGATGTCACTTATTACGTTGCTTAAAATTGTGGGCCCTTAGCGCCTCTATGTTACTGCTGTACTTGTTTCACAGGATGCGTCGCCCGTCCTGTGGGCTTAAATCTGGGACAACAGTGGCAGACAGGTAGATGGCCATTTTGACGC